CATTACGGAGCAGAGACAAGCTATCTCCACTGTGCCCCATTTGATTTCCTGACCCACAGAATCTGTGAGCATAATAAAATGGTTATTGTTTAACCCCACTAGATTTTGGGGTGCTTTGTTATACAGCAGTGGTTAACCAGAAAAAACAATTCCCAAACCCCCACAGGTGGGTAGAGTTGGTAGTTCTGCTTTTTGCTTCATGATTGAGGGATTCTTCACAGGTCACATAAACTCTCAAAATCTCTGTTTTCTTATCTGGGATAATAATAGCCCTCCTATCACAGTGTAAAAATGAAGTCAGAAACCTATGGAGACGGCTTTTAAGGAACAACACTGTCATGAAGATCGCCACTCTTACCTAGCCTTTCTGTGTACTGGAGAGCAGCACTCAGTAAATCACACAAGATATGCTTTCTGGAAAATAGTTATTAGCCCACACCCCACCCACAAATTCAATTTAATGGATCTAGGTAGAGCGTTCACATTTGGTGAAAACCAAACCAGTGCCCTCAAAAATTCCCATAGGACAATCAGACAGACATGAGACACGCTCCTGCCGACAGTGACCTCACTTCTTTCATATAATGACATGCCAAGTTGTAAGAATGCTTCTTGTTCTGGTAATAGGAACTGAGAAAAGCCCTTCGGCCTTCCAGGAGTACACATTGCCCAGGGCTGGCAAACCCACCTTACCCCATCATGGCACCCTTTACTGTGAACTGCTCAGACAGCGGCTTCAGGGTTTGGGACCCGGCTTCGCAGATTCTACTCCTTGAAGAAAAACAACCCCCTTCTAAACCAAACCAGTTGCCGCCGAGTTGACTCCAACTACAACTCATGGTTACCATGTGTGTCAGAGTAGAACTGTGCTCCATAGGGTTTTCAGTGATTTTCAGAAGTAGATCACCAGGCCTTTCTTCCAAGGCACCTCTGGGTAGACTTGACTCTCCAATCTTTCGATTAGCAGCTGAGTGTGTTAACTGTTTGCACCACTCAGGGATATTCAGGCTAATTCGGTAGAGCTTTTCTCCAATTCCACCTCCAATTAATTTTTGTGGCAATGGGTGATAAATTACTTTTCAACATTTAAATTAAAATAGTTTTATTCAATGTGACCATGATACATCTCTCATCTGCTGCCGGTACCCACCTTGATCCTATCTCCTGGGTGCTTCTCACTTTCGGGCTCTGAAGCTTTATAAACGAATTCGTGGTTAGCTAGTTACTAGCTGTGAAAGTTGGTCAAGACATTTGTCATCTGTAAAATTAAGATAATTGTACCTCATAGGTCGAGGAGGTGACAGCAAAATTAAACACTCTGCCAGGTAACTAGTGGATTTCATTCACTCATTCCAAAAATATTTATTGAGCTTTTATTATGTGCCTGGCACAGGGCTAGATCCTGGGTACACATGGGTGAAAGGGCAGTTCCTGCCCTCTAGGAGTTTCTAGGCCATAGGAGAAATAGAAAGTTAACAGGTTGTGAACACTGAGAATGGTAAGTGCCACGATAGGGGAAACAGGGTGGTATGGGAACACTAGAAAAAGCTCTCAAACCAGACACTGAAGACTCAGAAAGAGCTTCTGGGAGGAATGATGTTTAAGTTGAGACCTAAAGAACAAGCAGGGGCTAGGTGAATATGGAGGGTGGAGTAGAGAGAAAAGGTGAGCCAGGCAGAGGGAATAGCATGTACCAAGGCCTGGAGGCAAGACAGCATGGTATTTCCTGAAACATTCGATGCTTCAGCTGGTTCCATGCGGTTGAAGCATCAAGTGTCAGGCAGAAAGTAGAGGAAGATGAGCTGTTGGGGCAAGCAGTAGGCAGGTCATGTGGGCCCTGTAGGCTTCGCACAGGCATTTGGACTTTAGCTGGCATTTCAGAAGGAGCACTTAGACTGTGAAGTGTAGAATGGAGCAGAGGGGCCCAGAACGAAGGTCAGAAGACCCCAAGGAGGCTCTGCCATAGCCCAGAGGACATGCAGTGACTGTGAGCGTGACTGTTATTACTCTTCTATTCAACACCCCTTCTGCCAGAGTTCAGAACTTAAAAACAGAAGGTGTGTGTCTCTTATGTGTGATAATATATTTTCTGGAGGATTCTTACAAAACAAGGCCAACAGTTGTCTAACGAGTCAACAAGAAATGTGGGTGAACTCTGGGGCAAAAGAAGCTGAGGGACCAAACCCCCAAAGTCTGCCCTCCTCAGCTCAGTAGTGAGCTCGGCCTTTGCTTGCTTTCTGCATGATGCAGAGTCTCTCCCTCTAGCCCTCTAGAAGGCTGGCCATTTTCTGGGCCTGGGGCACATCCCTGAACAGGAAGCTGTTTCTTGAGATGACAGCTGAATGTCAAGAGGGAGGGGGAAAGTGACGTTTCAGAGTAGGGCTCCAAACAGTTCCAGCTCAGTTTTCTCACTGTAATCCTCACCACACCCCAAAGAAAACGACCTGACTCAGAGGCCACATAAATCCTGAGGTGCAGGAGCGTGGCTCTGTGCTGCTGGCCAGCCTCTCGGGGTTCTGTCTCCCTGCCTCCCCCAGGGCACATGTGTTAGGGCTGCCTCTCTGGAAGCTGCAGAAGGAGGAAGGTCGGCCTTACCCTCACCCGCACTGGACCATGGCCCCAGCCGCCTCCGCCTCCGCCTCCGTCTTCCTCCTCTGAGCTTTTGGCTCCCAAAGCTGTAGCCAAGTGGGGTCAAGGAAAGCAGCTGAATTATGATCAGAGATGAGGAGGAGCTTTTTGGAGCCATTCCAGGGGCCACAGACCTGGGAGTGTCTGCAGCTGATTCAACAGATGGGGAGGCAGCAAAGGGTCATGGAAAGTGAATGAGATTCAGGGTCAGAATTCCAATTCCCCCTCATGGTAGCTGTGGGACCTGCAGCAAGTTACTTAAGCTTCAGTTGAGCTTCTGTGGCGTCAACTCTGAAGTGGGAATAACAATGTCACACTTGGAGGGTTACTGGAAAGCAAGTAGTTCAATGTCTGAACCAGAATAGGTCATGGAAGATATGAATTCTGACAGCAGATATTGCCTATGCAAGTTATAAAACATTATCCTATACAGTTTTCTGTCATTAATTGTGCTAGACTTGACTTCTCCAACTAGTCTTAGGGGCGTTTTGAGGGCATTAAGTAGGTGTCCACATCCTTTCCTTCCCACAGCATCTCACGCTTAATGTGGGTCAATACATATTTCCTGGCTAACTGATACATCCAGATATCAAGACCCCCTGGGCGGGGGACAACAATCCCAAAACTAATACAGTCTCTGGCACCTAAAGGTACACACACACAAACCAAACTTATTGCCATCAATTTGATTCCAACTCATGGCAACTCCATGTGTTATACAGCAGAACTGCCCCATAGGGTTTTCTTGGCTGTAATCTTTACGGAAAGGAGCCCTGGTGATGCAAACAGTTAAGGGCTTGGTTGCTAACTGAAAGGTTGGTGGTTCGAACCTGCTCAGCAGCTCCGCGGGAAGAAGACCTGGCGTTCTACTTCTATAAACATCACAGTCAAGAAAACCCTATGGGACAGTTCTTTTCTGTCACAGTGAGTTGCTTATCAGGCTAAATCGACTTGATGGCACCTAACAACAATAATCTTTACAGAAGCATATCTCCAGGCCTTTCTTCCATGGTGCTGCTGGCTGGGTTTGAACCACCAACCTGTAGGTTAGTAGTCAAGTGCAAAACATTTGTGCCACCCAGGGATCTTAAAGGTACCCAGTGTTACCTTTGAACAGGTAAAATACAGGGATATTTTCACACCTTTCTTTCACTTGTTAGAAGTAGCTTAGAAGAAGCCAGTAAACAGATGAGGCAATTTGAACTAGTGGTGAAACAAGCAGGGCTGGAGCCAGGCTGCCTGGGGGCCACCATGCTGCCATGATGCAACCCTGGACAAGTAACTGAACCTCATCTGTAAAATGGGAATAATCAGAGCACCTCCCTCAGGGAATTTTTGGGAGCATTTAAAGAGTACATGGAAAGTATCAGTGCATGGCATAGGGCTAATGTTGAATCAGTACTCATCATCCTCATTATTATCAAAGCTCAGTTCTGTTTGCTGAACTGGACTCCCTTGATATATGGCAACACTGGAAATCTCACCCTGGATAAGGATCCTGCCACCTGTAATGGGGATCCCAAACTGGGTGGGAAGAGAGCAGGGCTGGGCTGCCTCTCTAGAATAGCCCATATAACAAGGTAAATTTGTAGAAGTGTCTTAGAAATTATAAAATACATTACAAATATTATTGTCATAGTTTTTGTTTTTCCTAAAAAGTGATTTTAGGGGTAATACTTTAAAATCTAGAAACAACATTGTCGAGATAATCCTAGTTCCCACTTTGACAATCTACCCTAAACTAGGTACTGCGTCCACTGCTTCTCAGTGGTAAACTCACTCAGTGTTCTCAACGACCCTCCACAGATGGAATTATTTTCATATCCATTTTAAAAAGAGGAGGGAAATTATTGTCAAATGTCACTCAAGGTCTCAAGTGGGATTCAAACTTGCATCTGTTGGTTCCAAATCTATGCTCTTTACTACATCATACTTGCGTGCTAAATACAAATTTTCTAAGATGAATAAAATGCCATTGGGCTCAAGATTTCCAGTCAAATGGCTAGTCACCCTGCTCTTGGATTCTCATCAATAGGCATCACAGAATCTCAGCATCACAAGGCACATGGCAGTGCTTTGCTATTTAATCTCCTAGAAATCATCTTCCTTGCTCCCATTCCAAGTTAACCACGTCATACTTAGTTTATCTACCTCAGAGGGACACAGGGCTCAGCTGGCCCTGCTACAACTTGACATTACACTTACTGAGTCTGAGGAGTTAAACCTAGCACTGAGGTCACTTTGTTTTCTGGTTATCCCATCAAAACAAAATACCACGCTCTCCTCCTCAAAAAAATATGTTTTCTTTCTGAAACCAAAAGAGCATTTTGTAGTTAAGGAAAAAAAAAAAAAAAAAGACATCAAGAAATAGCAGCTTATTTTGCTTTAATATCCTAAAATTCCTGTGTGAATGGGAGTATGTTGCAAAACAAGACAGAGATTTGCACGTCTCCCTCCGAGGAAAGAACCGACTGGAGAGAAGTCGCCAGAAACTGAATTGCTGAGTTACATGTAAACAGTAAATGAGGGTGAAGATTCACCAAGGAGAAAGGGACTTGCACTGGCATCTCGTCAGCACATCCTAAGGATGAAAAATGGCCTTTGTAACTGATGTTCGGCCTCCATCTTACATTGCAGTGTAAACAGTACCTGGTACTAAGGAAACAAATACCCACACAGCAGCAGTGCATAAGGGCATGAAAAGGAATTGACATTAGTATAAGCCCCTGGGTCCTCTTTCCCGCATGGCTTCCACAAGCATCTTGGGTGGCAATGTCTCGCAAATGTACCATGCACCACTATCTGGTTAGTGGAAAGACCGAATCCTAAAAGACTGGGTAGATACACTTTGTTTCTGTCCGTGCTCTTCAATCAGATGACTTGGATAGGTCCTGGGGAGGAGGGACGTACCACATCCAGCCTGTCTTCTTAGGTGATAACGGTAGGTGCAGTGCGTCCCGTCCTTTCCTGGAGTTGGGACACCTTCAGAGCAATGGAAATAAGGGGGGCCAACATGACCTGAGGGAGACACAAAGAGAAGAACCTTTTCCATCACTTTCTCTAAACACAGATCCATAGCACCAGCCCAACCTCACTTCTGAGTTCCCAGCCCATACTAACCACCTACTCTGATATCTCAAGCCCAAAACTAAACCAAACCCTTTGCTGTCGAGGCGATTCCGGCTCGTAGTGACCCTGGTGGACAAGCTAGAGCTGCCCCATAGGGTTTCCAAGGCTGTAAATCTTTACAGACGCAGACTGCCACATCTTTCTCCCGCAGAGCACTTACCTTGTTGGCACTTAACCACTACACTACCGGGGCTCCTTCTGAAGTCTCAAGGGCTCCTCAAACTCTAAGTCCAAAAAGGAACACATGTTCTTTCCCCCAAAGCCTAGCACCAGCATTCCCTATGTCAGTGAATTGATACCAGTCTATCCTGTAAAGCAAGTGAACAACTAGGAGTCACTCTTTTTTCTTTTATTAATTGAGGTGAAATTCAGAGAATAAAAAATAAACTATTTTAAAGTGAACAATTCAGTGGTATTTAACATAGTCCCTTCAACTTCTGGTAACCACCAATCTGCTTTCAGTTACTATGGATTTACCTGTTCTGGATATTTCATATAAACGGGATCATACAACATGTGGCCTTTTGTGTCTGGCTTCTTTCACTTAGCATAATGTTTTCAAAGTTTGGGAGTCATTCTTGACACTTCCTGTCCCCCATTTCTAACTCATCAGCAAAGCTAAGTGACTTTTATCTTCTAAATATCTCTCAACATCGCCCACTTCTCCCCATCCCACTGCCATAGCTCTTGCTAAACGAGCATTCTTTCTCTCGCCTGGAGCAATGGTGCCCCAATACCCACTTTTGCATCCTCCAATTTGTTTCCCACATTGTACTCAGAGATTGTTTCCAAATGCAAAACCCTCCATTTACCTCTCATTAAAAAATTTTTTTGCTGCTTAAATAAATATTTTAATATTAAAAAAAAAGAAAGAAAACCACTGCTGTAGTTTAATTGCCCATTTTACAGACGAGAAAACTGAGACCCAAAGAGGTAAAGGATTTGACCAAGTGATTCTATGGCAGAGTCAGGAGTAAGGCATTTTTACTGCCCACTGGTGCTTTCCCTCATCTAAATTTCTACCATCTTATACTTAGACGAAAGGGAGAACAAACTCCATGTGCTGACCACACCATTTTCTATTCCCCTTGGGGGCTTGAACAGTCCCAACAAAGTGCTGAGGCTGTGACCCAGAAGCTATGGAGTCAGGGAAGGTGTCTCTTCAACTGAAATGGTGACATACCTGGATATTGTAGGCAACCCACACCCTTCAGTGTCATCCCACCTCTCCCTCATCATTCCCTTAAGACTATGGTTGGGAAAAAAACATTTTTCATTCATTATTTGCATCTACCATGTGCCAGGCATTAGCTTGAGGATAAAGAGACAAGTGCAGTTCCTTTCCTCTTTTCCTCTTGCTCTGGTATTCTGTGGGTCTACAATGCAGACCCCACTGCCTTGGTTTAAGTTTGAGGGATGCCTACAACCCAACAGAGACCTTCAAGGATTGAAGCTGGAGCCTGGCCACTGGAAAAACCGTAAAGGTGAAGCATTTTCTCACCTCTCCCTTTTTGTAATAACAACTATAAGAACTACCCTATCTCAAAAGCTAATCCTATGTGGCAGGCACAGAGTTTAGCATTTTAGATGTATTGTTTCCTTAAATCCCTACAACACTCTTTGAGGTAGGCATTATTCTGCCCATTTTACAGGCAAGGAAACCAAGGCTTGAAATAACTTACCCAGGGACACGTTGCTATTAAGTGACAGGAATAGAATTTGAACCAAGAACTCTCTGACTCTAAAACCCATGTTCAAAACCACTATGCCAGGGGTTTCCAAGCAAGTTCCATGGGATTTTAATTAGATGTTAGATGAAAAGAGGCTTTTGTGGAAAAATAACAGGTGTCTTTACTGCAAGTTTTCTCAGAGTCTTTAACATGTGCTATGTGTTGTGAGAAGGAACCCTGTGGAGCAGTGGTTAAAGTGCTTGGCTGCTAACAGGAAGGTTGGCAGTTCAAACTCACTAGCCACTCTGTGGGACAAAGATGTGGCAGTCTGCTTCCATAAAGATTTACAGCCTCAGAAACCCTATGGGGCAGTTCTACTCTGTTCTATAGGGTCGCTATGAGTCAGAATCGACTCGACAGCAAGGGTATGTGTTTCTAGGAATCGCGGGGTAGTGCAAATGGTTAACGCACTCAGCTGCTAACTTAAAAGTTGGAGGTTTGAGTCCACTCAGAAACATCTAGGAAGAAAAGCCTGGTGATCTATTTCCAAAAAATCAGCCACCGAAAACCCTATGGAGCACAGTTCCTGTCTGACACACATGGGGTCAGCATGAGTCGGAATTGACTTGATGGCAGCTGGTTGGCTTTTTGCTTGTTTGTTTGTTGTGAATTGCCAAGAAGGGGTTAGTGTAACACGATTTCCTAAACGTTTTTTTTGTTTTTTGGCCAAGAACTCTGGTTGGGGAGCATCTGTCAAGGTGCATGTTGTGAGGAACACACTCTGGGAAACTCTCCCCGTGCGTCACTGCCTCCCCTTTGGCTCCTCCATTCTGGTAACTGTCCTCTAAGTTCTCAGCCTCACGGTCCTTCTGAAGACTTTTTGGGTGGGGGCGGGGAACCCAAACCACCAGGCAGCAAGTCCTTAGATTTTTCAATGAAGAAATTTCTTGCTGGGCCATGAAACTGTTTCTCCCCTTTCATCAAACCTAGAACCAGTGTGTGTTCTTCCAGGGCCAGTGATCAGACCAAACAAAGCAGCACATGACCGGCGGGAGACCACACCACCAGATGAGGGGCTGATTTAGAGATAGTTATCCTGACTCTACCACTGACAGTGAACCTATTAACTATTTAACCTTTCTGTGCCTCAGTTTCCTTATCTGTATGTAGGGATAATAGTGGAATCTACCCCATTTGAGGATTCAGTGAGTATATACAGGTAATGGGCTTACAACAGACTTGGCAAACAGCAAATCTCAGATATTTGTTAGCTGTTACTGTTGTTATGAGGTACTGAGAGAGATATGGAGGAAAGTAAACACAGCTGGAACCTTGTTTGATCACTGGAGAAAAGGGTTGTTATAATACAGGTTCGATAAAACGACAATCATTCCCTCAACAGAAAGAACTCATACGGCACAGGGCTTGGGCATTACCTGGGGGTCCTGGTGAATCTTGGCGATGTCCTTCTCATAGCTGTCGATGTACAGTCGAATGGTTGCCCCTGCACTCCCAGTCCCGCTCAGTCGGAAGATGATGCGAGAACCATCTGTAAAAATGAGCCGCAAGCCCTGGAAAAGACAAGCAGAGATTTTTCCCCACATGCTAGAAGGGATATTGAAGGTTGGCAAATGACGAGGGGTCCATTTGGAGACCTAATGTCATCCATACTGGATCAATCGGAGGATTAGATCCTTGATAAATGGCAGCAATTGAGCCTCATGAATCTGCCTTCTGTCAACCTCTCACTGCATCCAGATAATGGGGGCTTAGCTAATGCGGGAGAAGCATTCCCAGGGTCAGATGGGAGATCTGATCCCTGTGATGTTGTATGACATGAGGCTTTCCCTCCCCTCCCCACTTCTCTATGATTTATGGACTAGCCATTTCAGTTTGAAGCTTAATAAATAAATAACACTGCGAGATACAGAAATTCCATCTCCAGATCAGGAGTAATATGGTGCAGGCAGAGGATGCCAATCTGTACCTTCTGGCTAGGGAGGCCCAAGAGACAGAATGGGCTGAAACCATAGCAGAAGAGGTTTCAGGTAGACAAGAAGAAGCACTCTTCGTGAAAACACTGATAGCCTCAAAAAGAGAACAGGTAGCCACTAACTATTCCCAACCTATCAACCGTGACCCAGCGGTCAATCTCCCACTGATGCCTGATGACTCAAAGAAGGGCCCACATGGTGTTGTACCTGGTCCAGCCCTTCTCTTTTGCCCTCTCCTTCCCTCCCTGGTAGCATCTCTCTTCCTCGGTGATCTTTTTGCTTCACAGCAAAGGGTTGAGGACTCATGGGTAGATATTCCATGGCCTGAGGTAAGAGGCTAGGCAAGACAGTTGCCTGAGGATTCTTCTGGCTTTATGAGTCTAACAATTCTTCCATAAAAAGAAGAAGTTTATATAATTCCAAAGACTGGCCAGTAAGAGAGAGAGTGCTCCTCATCTGCTGCTCATCACCAAACCCCACCCAGAGTTTAGTTAGGTCATTAATTAGCTGAGAAAGCTGATTAATCTCACTGGGCCTTGGAGTTCTCATCTGTAAATCTGTAAACTGAGAAGCGTGGACTAGATCTTAGATCTAGTCTATCTCACAGTCTATAATTCTGTGCCTCTTGATGATTAAAAATAAAGAAATAATGTGCCTTATTGTCAAGACCTTTGTATTAAGAAAATTCTCTGCTTTTAGATCTTTTAACACAAGGGTTGAACAGATGATATGCCCATCTTCCTTCCTTCCTTCCTCCCTCCCTCCCTTCCTCACTCCCTTCCTTCTACAAATATTTACTGGGTGTCTTTGACATATTAGGCACCATGCTGGGGCTCTGAACAAAATATCTTGTCCTCGAGCTGTCCACAGTCCAGCAAGAAACACTGAAAAATAAACAGGCAATAATTTGCTCAAGTAGTAAGTGCTTCAATAGCAGTAAGCACACAGCACCGTACAAATACATAAGAGGGGCAACTATTCCAGGCTTGGGGGTAAGGGATGATTTCCTGTAGGGAAATATGTCTAAGCTAAGATTTCAAAGATATCATGGAGAACCTAGCAAACACAGAGTGAGGGAGAGTGTTCCAAGTAGACGGAAGAGCATATTCGATGTCAGAAGTGAGAGAGTATGACTAGTCAAGGACCTCCTAGTGGTTCACAATGGGTAAAGTGAAGAGCAGGAGGGGAGCATTAGGAGAAAGGAGGCTGGACAGGTAGGTCAAGCCAGATCAAAATGGTAATCACCACATGTACCATATTTGAGGGCAGGATTTATTCAGCTCTATACATCTAGGTTCTAGTACAGAACCAAGTGCAGTGGGTGTTCAAACATTAGATACCGTATTTTTATGTAAATAACGCAGGCATTATACGTCTTTTTGCCAATCATGCCCTCTCCTTACCAGGTATTTTCATAAGTGTGTGTTATGGATTGAATTGTATCCCCTAAAAATGTGTCAACTTGGCTAGGCCATGATTCCCAGTATTGTGTGACTATCCACCATTTTGTCATCTGATGTGATTTTCCTATGTGTTGTAAATCCTATCTCTATGATGTTAATGAAGCAGGATTAGAGGCAGTTATTTTAATGCGGCAGGACTCATCTACAAGGTTAGGTTGTATCTTGAGTCAATCTCTTTTGAGATATAAAAGAGAGAAGCACGCAGAGAGACGAGGGGATCTCCTACCATCAAGAAAGCAGTGCCAGGAGCACAGCACGTTCTTTGGACCCAAAGTCCCTGCGCCTGAAAAGCTCCTAGACCAGGGGAAGATTGATGACAAGGACCTTCCCCCAGAGTCGAAAGAGAGAGAAAGCCTTTCCCTGGAGCTTGTGCCCTGAATTTGGACTTCTAGCCTCCTAGACTGTGAAAAAGAAACTTCTGTTTGTTAAAGCCATCCACTTGTGGTATTTCTGTTATAGGAGCACTAAACTAAGACAGAATTCTATAGTAATTTTTTTTTTACATGTTGAATTCTAGCTCTGGAAGGCTCAAGAGCCATAGGAACAATCTCTTACATTCACTTAGTGCTTTACAAATTCCAGAGCATTTGCACAGTCAGTTTTGCCTCATTTGAGTTTCACAATGTGTAAGGTAGAAAGGGCAGGTATTATTTACATTTTGCTAATGCAGAAACTAAAGCTTAGTGATAAGAGACTTGCCCAAGGTCACATAGCAGACAGAATCCGGATTGTCTGACATTTGTTCTAGGACTCTTTCCTCTACCCTAACTTCTCAAATCCCAATTTCCATCAGCCTGCATTAGCTCCCTAAGTTACAGCACCAGAGGTTGTCAAAGATGAGCAGTACTGGTCTGGAAATGCAGTGTCTTGTTTTGCACTGCTGTGTTAGCGTGTACTGCAAGTAACTTGCTGTGGATAATAACAATCACGGTTTCAAAGTCTGTGAGTGGCTTTTTTTTTTTTTTCCAGAAATTAGAGGATATCAAAGAAATCTCGATAATAATGTCACTTGCACGCTGTCATTCTGATATGATCTCTTGAGGAAAAAAGAGGGGGTTGGCATCTAAAGCAACAGTTCTCTCCTGTGTTTTAGATTCTGGGGCTCCTTTCTATATATACACTCGACACTACATCTTGCATATAATTCCTGAGGGTGTTAAAATCCCTCTGGAGTCTAGGATAATAATTCCAGAATGAGGGCATAGAACGAGGGCAAAAATCATTTCCCTACTAGTACATGTGAGTGTCATTTGTGACTCGGCAGAAAAGTGGTTGAGAACAACTACCCTAGAAAAACAAGGCAGCAAAGGAAATATGAGCAAGGGGCCTTTCTTTTCTGCCTTGAGACTTCAGAGATGAAGCTCCTTCTGGGGTCTCTTTCCCACATACACATAAATCTGTTCCTACCTGATTTCTTGAAATGCTTCCATCCACTGGATCACTGTATTCAAAGTTATCTGCTTTCTCCACAGTGTAAACTTTGTCACCTGCTGAAAACTGTTTCCCCACAAAGGAGCGATCGAACATCAGGGCCTCCATGTCCTTCATCATTTTGTTTGCTCCCTCAGCTTCCACCTCCTCATAATCATACCTAGAAGAAGTCATGAAGGTGAGGCCTATGGGCTGAGTTCACATCCTACAAAGGTATTTCAGCACTTTCTTCATCATTGGTTTGGCCCTCCCCCAAAACGACCTAACTTCAGAAGAAGCTGGCAAGTAAATGAGCTTGTCAGTCACTGTGGATAGATCAGGCCAAGAATGGTGGAAGAGCTGAAAAGTCACCAGCCTGGAGGATTTCAGGGAAGAGTTCAGAGCTTCTGAATAAGCAGAAACCACCCACACCCCCTATCTTGGCTCTTCTACAGAATAAATCTTTAAAGAGTTTCAAAGACTTTGAGAGATACTATCTAATATTTAATCACCACATCCTGGGGAGGTAGAATTAAAAGCAATGTTATCTCTAGAGAACTCTGCATAAACAAGCAAATGACTCAGGCATTTCTCTTCCTAATGCCTTGAGCTCTTTGAGTTGAATGATGGGACTGCTCCCCATCTGGGACCTGACTGAGGCTGCTGAGATTTTGGCTAAGGAGAGTTCCAGTCTCCACATGAGCTTCCGAAAATGAGGCCAAGTTTTCACTGACCAGATGAAGGGGCCAAACTCTAACTCTTTACATCTGAAACCCCTCCATTGTTTCAGCGAGAGTGGATCCTGGTCCAAGGGGAGACTTCATATGAATGCGTAAGGGCCAGGAAAAAAAAAGTGCATCACAAATTAATTCAGCGACTATCTTTTTTTCCTTTAAGAATTGCTCTTGACTTCTTCCTTATGAGGTTAAAGACTCTTACAGGTCGATTTTCTTGACCTAGTGGCACATACCTTCTTGAGAGAGTTATTTTTTAGAGGCTCAAGATAGCAAAGTCTATATTTATTTGCAATAGTGAAACAAATATGATATGTGCAAGATGACACCTCTGAGACATGAGAAATACCAGGAATTAAGGCCAACCTATTCTGGCTCCAGGATTCTATGAATCAAGGACAAAACAGTCCCCTTAATCTTGAAGTCAGCTCTTTTCCCCAGTTAAAATGATAAACAGCATGAAATTACAACCAGGTGTTTGTGCTTTACATCTGTGACCTTTGGGTGTTCAAGGGAAATGTTCTATAAATCCTAGGCACAGAGGGGTGTAATGGAAAGAATCTGGGCTTTGGAATCAGACAGAGCTAGCTATGAAACCAGCCTCTGTCAGTTACTAACTGTGCGACTAGGGGCAAGCTGTTTCATCTCTCAGAATCTCAGTTGCTTCATAAATAACTGTTTTAAGACTAATATGAAATAATGCATGCAAAAGAGCATTTAACAAAAATAGCTTCTGTTAAACAAATGGAGGATATAATGGTGCCTTAACTATTCATAAATATAGGTTCTAAGGACTTCATTTGCAATACTTGTTTAGTAGTTATATTTGAAATTGATAGATGCATATTAAAACAGTTTTCAAATAGGGACTTTAATTCAAGAATGACCCTTTCTCTGAACAAACCCTCCTAACCTTACTCCACTGTGGCCTACTGTTCATTCATTAACTCATTCATTCATCTATTCAAAAAATATTTACACAATGTCTACTGTGAGTTAGGCATTTGGTGATACCACGGAGCACAAAAACAGACATGTTCCTAATTTCGTGATGTCCTAGACTGTAAAGAGTTCATGACTGCTGTTCTGAATTACCAGGCTTTTCCAGCTCTTAAAGAGCAGAGGTTCTTGCCTTGGTTCCCAGGTCTACTGTATGGTCGTTATTGCTGTTGTTGTTGTTAACTTCTGTTGAGTTGGCCCCCAACTCAGTGATCCCATGCACAATGGGATCAGACCATTGTGATCCATAGGGTTTTCACAAGCTGATTTTTCAGAAGTAGATCACCAGGCATTTCTTCCTAGTTTGTCTTAGTCTGGAAACCTGTTCAGCAATATGTGAGCCTCCACTAACAGATGGGTGGTGGCTGTGCTTGAGGTGTGTTGGCCAAGAATTCAACCCTGCTCTCCCACATGGAAGGTGAGAATTCTACCACTGAGCCACCACTACCCAACTACTGTAGGGTACCAGGTGATATTATTACCTACACCTTCCACAAAAGAATAACCTGAGGGAGGAAAAGCTCAATGAACTTGTACAAAGTTGTTAAAAGGCTTCTAATGGAGGAACCCAAGGTGCTTAAGGTTGAATTCTTTCTTGACTATCAGGAGATCATAGGCTCTGAAATCTGAGCTGCAGTATTTAAAATTTCTACTCCAACCTATCCATCTTGCAGAAAAGGCAATTAAGGTCCAGAAAAGTTACATTTACACATTTCTTGCAGAAAATTTATCGAATGTCTGTCTTCTCATATTTCCTTCCCAGAATTAGAATTATAAGGATCAGAAAAAATGTTGGTAGGTTTTTACACATATTAGAGAAAAGGCAAGCTGGAAAAGCACTACTGGCAAAAAAATTTTTTTTTTATGTTTTTGGAAATAGGAGTATGCAGGGTAAAGAAGAATTACTAAGTATTCTAAGTATTTTGTTAACTGATGGACTCCCAGTACCTGGCGGAAAGTAGGTATACAGTAAATATTTGTTGAATCAATGAATGTCAAGTACATATCCTTTGGGGACCTATTTTAATGAAAGGAAAAGTTTATTTGTACTAAGCTAATTTTTTCCATAATTTAAGAAAAAATCTTTTTCAGACATTTAATGACCCCAGAGTTTAAAAAACACTTGCATATTTTCTTTAATCCTCATAACAGCTAGACTCTTATTTCCCATTTCTACAGATGAGAACACTCAAGTACAGCAAGGGGTTAAATGACTTCCCAATCTAGTAAGGAACAGAAATAAAATTCTAACTCATTCTTCTGAATCAAATTCCAATGCTATTACCATGTCCATGTTTAAAACGCTTACAGAGCATTTATTCTTTTGAATATGTTAACTAATTTTTTAAGCCTCATTCTTTATGGCTGACATAAAAGTTGACTTCATCTCAACCCTGACAGAATTATTTTAAAAATCCTTAATTGGTAGAGGCTGGATGAATTAGGGTTTCATTACCACTTATCACAGGAAAAAAATGTATGCCTGAGAATTCTCCCTGCCTGCCTTCCCACCCTACCTCACATCCCAGCCAGGCTGTGGCTTACCTGGTAAAGAAATTCCGGCCATACTTTTGCCAGTGATCTTTCAGAATGTCCTCCACGCTCTGCTTGCGGGTGGCTAGGATAGAGAGCCAGGCAAGGACAGCCCAGAGTCCGTCCTTCTCACGGATGTGGTCAGAACCTGGCAGGGGAAAGCAAGCAGCTGTTTATCACACGATTTCTCCAAAATGCTTGATAATAAACCCAACAGTAAGCATGCCAAAAAAAAAGTCAAGTTGATTCCGACTCATAGCAACCCTACAAGAGAGAGTAGAGCTGCCCCATAGGGTTTCCAAGACTGTAATCTTTACAGAAGCAGACTGCCACATCTTTCTGTGGCTAGTGGGTTCAAACCAGCAACCTTTTGTTTAGCAGCCAAGCGCTTAACGACTGCACCACCAGGGCTCCTCAATAAGCATGAAGACCCAACTAAAAAAGTCACAAACTTCACTGAAGACTTGAGTCCATAGAGAAAATCACATATTGAATAAAGAGACACAATACTGAAAAGAAGTTGATGCTTCCCAAAGTAATTTAGATCTACAAATGCCAATAAAAATATCAGTAGAATAATTTTGTGGAATTTTATATCTCAATTATAAAGTATGAATGTGAGAGAAAAAGAAAAAATTTTAAATAAGCAAAACAGCAAAGGAACATGAGCCACCATTATAAATTTTCAATAATTAAAATAGTCTGATAGCTCAATGGAACAAAAGAAAGAGCCTAGAAAAGACCCAAGCACATATGAGACTTGAGAATATGATAAAGGTGTGTCTCAAGCCTTCCAGAAAAGGATGGATTACTTTTTGAATGGTGTTTGGATAACTGGCTAAACAGTTGTAAAGAAATTTCCATTTTATCCTTACAAAACACCATACCTAAAGGAATTCCAGATGGATTAAAAATTCAAACATAAAAACTGAAAACCTTTAAGTACTAAAGATAAGTATTTTCTTAAGACTTGTAGGTGGTAAATACATGTAAATGCAGGATTCATAAGGGAAAAAAATGGATGTATCTGTCTGCCTTAATAATTAGCATTTTGATACGGCAAAACTACTATAGATAAAATTAAAAGGCCATTGACAAAAAAAAAAAACCTTTCCAATGTAAGGTAGATGTTTAATACGCTTAAAATAGAAAAAGAAAGTCTTACATGTTAATAAGAAAAAAGCCAAACCTCAACAGAAAAACAGGCAAAGGATATAAATAGGCAACACATATGGATAACCAATTAACACAATAAAAGCTGGCATTATTTTTAGAATAAGAGAAAATAAAGTTAAAACCATAACGAGAAACTGCTATTTCCTTGACAAATGGCCAAAGATTTAAAAATGAGAACACCCAGCATCAGAAGGTGTAAGGGAAATGGGATTCCAATGTGCTACTGCTGGGGGTGGACACTCGTTCAGTCTTTTTGGAAAGCAATTTGGCAAAAATTATCAAAGCCTTAAAAATGAATCTAAATTTGGATCCAGTAACTCCAGTTCTAGGACATCTTTCTTTAACCAACAGGGACTGGATAAAATACGACACATCTATCTCTTGCTAAAGACTTGTTAAAGTCTTTACCAAAATTAACAAACTGGTTCCTCTGGATGTGCTTATATGCATGTCTTTGGCAAAAAGAAGATAGAGACACTTTTCCAAGCGCCTTATGTGGAACAGCATTCTCTCTCTCTTTTTTTTTTTTTTTTTTTGCCTTTAAATTCATTATTCTAAAAAAAGCAGCGTCTATTAGGCTCTATCTTCTGATTTCTGAATAGGATGCTATACAACTCCTCCATAATAGTGCTTGGCATATTGACATCCCGTGAATCTTTTAAGTGCCTGGGTCTTCTTGGCACTGTCAGAGTGCCTAGCACAATGCTGGTTATATAGCAGGCATGTGGTAAGTTTGTTTCCTCCCCCTTCTTCACCCTTTTAGACCCACCTCAAATGTCCTCTCCTCTCTGTGAGTCTAGCTCCCTGCTTCCCTAAACAGTTATGAGCTTCCTTCTCTTTTCTATAGCAACATGCTCAAAACATCGGGTGTGGCGCCATCCTGGAGCCTCAACCATCTATTTATGAGTCTAGGAGCTTCTTGAAGGCAGAGACAATTTCTTAATTATACTTGCGGCTAAGCCTGCTGACTTGCATAGCACATGGAATATGGTAAGTAACTACTTGTGAAGGAGGGCATAAATGAACGAACAAATGAATCTACTCCAACATTTTCTCTCTTTTTGTTTGATAAACGACATATGACTTTTTCTTTCACAAGATTTTCTCTTCAATAGGCTATCACTTTTAGAAGCAATAGTCCTTACAACTGGATGCTGGCAAAACTAGAGATATTAGGCAGTATTTTTAGCATTTTATAAAAAATTTTGGAAATGTTCACCTATTTTTAGTATCTGTTTGCCTCTACTGCTAGTTTAAGGAACAGAAAGTTAGCTCTCTGCTTTTGCAAATGATGATATGTTTTGGCAACTTTCATCCTGAGAAGCAAGATTCTGGCAGCTTCCCTCATATATTGGGAATTCATGACAGCAATACACAGCTTGGAATTATTTGCCTGTGCTCTTCTGGGTTTTTTCTCCCTTCCTTCTTCTCTTTTTCTTTTAGGCTAGGCTGAAGCAAAGCATAGGGGGCAGTATTCCTTTGTGCTTTTCCTACTCTAAGTAAGGAAGGTGGCTTTTTCTTTTCTGTGGAAATGAAAATAAAATCTAAAACTCATACCAAACTCTGACCAAGTTATTTGGAGATAACTAAATTACATGCCCAAATATTATAAATAAAATATATGCCCTGGGTAACATAAACAAATATTCTAGTCCACTTGCAAGACCACCAGTCTCTTTGGAAATTCTGATTGATACCACTAATCACCTTGGATGTATCAAAACTCTGGGGAGTTATGATTAATACTCAGGAAAGCTGGGTAAATTTCAGTTCTTTTAGTGTTTTGCTGAACAACAACATGTTTCCAGTGGGAAAAAAAGCAATGGGATGTGCGTCTGTGTCTGTGTTTCTAAAGCTATTACTGTTTCAGCAGTTGTGTCTCAGTGGAAAATGCTTTCATACTTAAGAGCTAGAAAACTTGAATTTGAGCCTCTGATGCTTATAAGCTGTTTGAATTTGGACAATTCACTTAACCTTTCTGAGCCTCAGTTTCTTCAGCTATAAAATGGGGATAAAACTACTACCTCTTTCACACAGTTGTGAGAATTTACTGTGATAAAGTGGAAGTATTTTATAAATTCCTAAGTAATGTATAAATGCAAAATATCATTGTGAATAATGGAAAACACAAAAAAACTTTCAGTAAAAATTGTTTAAAATAATGCTCCCTAATTGTACATATTGGGGAGGAAAATGGAAGAATAGAACGCATTATGCTCTTTTCTCTGAACATCAGAATTACAGTGTTTTGTTTTGTTTTCCTTCTTCCTTATGTAATTTCCCCATAATTAATGTGGACTACTTGTATCATTTTTTTTCTTTTTTATTTAAGAAAAGGAAAAGAAGGTAAGATCACGTAACTGTGAGAAAAGGGAAAACACTGTCAGCAAGGACCACTAGGCCCAGCCGACACAGGCAGTGGCAGGTTTCCCACTGCGTCTCTTCATACTTGGTCCAGCCAAGGGGCCAACTGAGCGTGTAGGAATTCCGCCCTTTCAGCATCTTCAAACACCTGTCACTTTACTTCAGCCTAATCAGCACCTTGTGATACATACAAACTCAGCTCAGTCAGGGAATATTCTGGGTCTCAGCCAAGAAAAATGTCAGCCCTTGCTGAGGGAGCCAAGAGCTAACAGTTTAGGGACTAAGTTACAGTTACCAGTATGGGCACCTCAGGAGCTGCCCCAGCTCTTGTCCCTACCGGGCGGGCCTGAGAATAGGGATATAGCAGCTCAAAAACAGCTACATGCAGTTCTCCAAAAGCACTAGCGTCTGCCTGTCTGTCTCTGACTCTGTCAGTCTCTCCCTCTGTCTCTCTTCTCCAGACTCTTGAACATGCTGTTCTCTCTGTCTGGAAACTTCCACCCCACAAATGAGCCTGGCTAATATCTCTTGCAATTACTTTCAACATCAGGCTTATCCATTATGGCTTCTGTGTCTCTCTTTTCTAGGTTCTAGTACAGTACCCTGTACTTACCCCTATTCTATCACTACTTGTCTGACCCCACCCTAGACTATGAACTGTATTCTGAGCTGGTGCCTGGCACACAGACAGTTCTCAATAAGGGTTTCCCAAAAGCATGGTCAGAACCCAGCTTGACTGGCTGGGAGGCTCAGCAGACCTGCTCTGTCTGTCTGCAGTCCTGTTCTCTTTGTCTTCGTCTGCACAGATGACTTCACTCTGAAAGGAAGGGTAAGCTCCTCAGGAAACCTTTTCCAGACCACTTCAGCTCCCAGGATGCTTTCCTCCAGGGGCCCCCAGACTTTCCATTTAGCAATTAATCCTGCATTGCCTCGTGACTGCCCCTAGAACTCTGTTTCCCTCCCATGAGGTGGCTTTGGAAGAAGGTAGTAAGTGCCTGATGGCAGGGGCAGATTAACCAGTAAGCAAGGTACACACAGGCTTACTTGTGTTTACTTACTTATCTATTGTACACAATTTCACCACATCAAAGATGTAGTGAAAAACAGGTGAAATTGTGCACTACAGATCAGTAAGTAAGCACAAGTAAATCCGTGCGTACCTTGCTTATTGGGTAATCCATCTCTGCCTGATGAGCAGGAACTGTGTCTTAACACAAACTTCATTTCACATTCAACAAAATGAATCAGTGGCTGCCATGTTCCAAGCACACAGGCAAATATGGAGATAAAGAAGCCATGTCTTCTGCCCTCACAGTTGAACACAGGCATACAGGTGAGGGAGGCAGACATGCAAGTAGCAGTTTAACTGAGTTGGTTTAGTACAAGCCTAGTTCTGTTGAAGTATTGGGTCTGGGAAATCTCCTGTCTGGAGCAACCAACCTTCCCTGGGGTTTTATCTACATGGAAAAGTACTCAAGAGCTAAGCAAATTAGAATCGGCACAGAACCAGACAGAGAATCTGATCCTTGCACCTGCAAAACCAGGTTATGTGCCCTGAGTATAAATCTCTCAGAGGACCCTGTTCTTCACCTTCTATAAGTTTGTGCACTTGTAATTACCTGGCTAGGTCTGACTTCCTCACATATGTAAACTCCATGGGGCCCTCCACAAGGAGGTCTTGCTCACGATTATCTCAGAGCCTAATATAGTGTCTGGGACATGGTAGAAATTCAAGAAACATTTGTGGAGTAGATCAATGAAAAGATGTGCAGACATGAAGGACCTTTAATAAGAAATTAAAATAAAAAATAATTGGCAAAGCATTAACGCTATACTTCAAGTTTTCATTCCTATGTGATGTATTACCACTAAACCAAAAACCAAGCCAATTGCCATTGGGTCGATTCCAACTTATGGTGACCCCATGTGTTTCAGAGTAGAACAGTACTCCCTAGGGTTTTCAAGGCTGTGACCTTTTCAAAGCAGATCATCAGGGCTTTCTTCCAAGGCACCTCTGGGTGGGTTCAAACCACCAACCTTGCAATTGCTTAACCTTTTGCTTAAGCCTAGTGCTTAACCATCTGTACCACGCAGGGCCTCCTGTATAATCAGTGGAACATTCTGAAGATGGAGCAGGGAAAAAGACATTGCTAACCACCAAACCTGACCCAATCATAATTCACTGGTATATTCTATTCCATTCAGTGACTTCATTTTGAACTGTCCTCCCAATTTCCCACCAGGTTCAAGGTGAGACAGAACTGACACTTTGCCCTGCCACCATAATGCATAAATGTGTACATTATGTTCTTCAATGAGGAAGAAAAAAACAACTTTGCACCATGAGATCAACCAAAAATAACAGGTTTGCCCTGTCTAGCGCTGATCCCTAAAATATTATAAAATCGTGACCATTTCTGACTCCCTAACAAACACATCTTTATCCTTGGCTTTCAAGATGCTGATGTCTAAGGAAGTAGACTCTGTGGTTATGATAATCATGTGAGAAAGTTGCTGTTTCTCCACCATGAACAGACTAATGTATATTTGTAACCTCAGTAATATTACATATGGGTTTGTGTTTGTTTTCTTTTAAATGTCAGTGGTTTGTTTTATTTGATGAGCTAGTTCTTCTAAAGTCTGATTCCTTTGGACCTCTCTGCAAGTAAACTTCTCCCTTTCTTATCTAAAGCTTGTCTCTTATCACAAAGGTCTTGTGGTGCCCAACTCTAGACTATGGAATGGAGTTGAGTCCTCTCAAGAGTCCCAGGCTGCTGCAGGAGGTGAGGAGTGGATTCTCCATTCAAGTGGGGGTTTGGAGCTGGTCACTTGTGGCAATTCCAGCATGAAATTACGCTGGATGACTTTGAATCTCCTTTCCTTTTCAACACCAAGATTCTGTTTATCTAAATGAAGAGTGTGCTCACTCAATCATTCAACAAAGGTTTACTGAGCACCTACTGGGTACTCTGGGGATACAATGGAGAACAAGACAGACGTAATTCCTGTCGTCGTGGTACTTACAGTCTAGTGAAGCCGACAGACATTAATTAAATAATCATAAATAATTGTAAAATTACAGCTGCAATACCTGCAACAAAGGAGAGGTATGTGGTGCCATGAGAGCCCATACTAAGGGGATCTGACCCACTCTGGAAGGTCAGGGAGGCTTTTCTGAGAAATTGCCTCTGCTCGGGCCTGGGAAAACACAGAAATAAACTATACTCAACTAAGCTATAAAATTTCAAAGCTTCCAAAGCTCATAGAGTCACTAATGTCCATCCTGAGAACACTCTGTAAAGGGACTGTTGGAAGCATTGCACCAACAAGGGGGAATTTGTAGGGACAAATTAACTCCTCTATAAATAAAGCAATCGTAAGTCCAGTTAAATAGGTTCAGCTGTACTCATCCGTAGACATTAAGACCACAGATAATCTATCCTAATTTTTAAAATATTTATCTCAGAATATTACAGGACAATTATCTTTTTCAGAGAAAGAGAGAAAGCTTATGAACTATTCTCATGAAGTATTCTCTCTCTGGAAGATAAAACTATGGTTAGCACTTAATATTTGTTGAATAAGTTAATAAACAAACCAACAAGAACAAACTTTAACAAGGAGTAGTCCAAAGTCTAATATTTTGGTTCAAAGAAATCAGTTCCACAAATATAACATGGGGCATTTTTCTTAACAAATGATCAATGGTAAAGTCTTTAAGGGACTTAATTATCCACAACCTTATATGGGCTAAACGATATTATGGAACTTTCTAAAAGCTAACATAAATGAAAGTTATACCAAGAAAAGCATAGTGTCCAAATCACTAGAAATAATCATCCCACCCTACTCTTCACTTGTCAGATCAATGCTGGAGGATTTAGCCTCAGTTATGGGCATGACCATCTAAGAGGGGCACTGATGTATTTGGGAACATCTAGAAGCTGGTGCAAAATGAGGAATGACTGGAGGACCTAAAGATGGAGAGCCTGGAGAGGAGAGGACCTGAGAGCTGCCTTCCAGTATTTGAAGGACTTTCATATGAGAAGATAGTAGCTTGTGTTATTCTGTCTTCAGCCCTGTTCCCAGCCAGCCAATACTGGGGGCTCCTACTTGGCTCTGGGGCTCTCACCCATCTTGCCCAGTGCTTCCCACATGGGTCTGTGGGCCAAGATGTTGCTGGACGTATCACAAAAAAAAAAAAGATACTGTGGTTAACTATGTTTGGGCAAAACTGTACTAACAGGATTCCCTACATAAAATGCTCTGGAATCTTCAAATGCTAATATCATTGTGAATATACAAGATAGAGAGGTGTATTCCAAGTTTTCCAGTTTTCACTGACCCCAGAACGCTCTCACGGAATGACTATTCTTCCACACACCCTGTTCTGGTCTTCTATGTTCCACTAGTTTTCACTGGGCTCATGCACCAAGGTTTACACATGGTGCTTGCCTTCAAAGACAATCTCTATCTATAAAGGACTGATATCAAGCCTGAACTGGATAACCCTAGAAAAATCTTAAGGGAAAAAAATGCCTCATAAGGTCATTGGTCATTTATCTAGTACCCTGTGGAGTAACGTGGCAGCTGTGAGTCAGAACAACAGCAACTGGTTTTGTTACTAGTTTTATACATATTTTATGAAGTAGGAAAGGACTAACCAATGGCCTTGTAATCCATGACCAAAGATGCAGAATCTTGGGAAACTGACTAGCTTTCTTCATGGAAATTGTCCAGCCCTAACATCCATCCATCTTTCTTAACACCCTCCAATTCTATCAAGTCAATCCATTGCCAAGGGGTAATGCCACTTCCTGAAGGATATTAAATTGCTTAGAACTTTGTAAATATGTGCCTCAAATTTATCAGCTCATTCTACTACCCCACCCTCAGACTTGTAGGAAAAGAAATGAAATCAGCATTCTTTTCTATTTAATGTAACGTGAATTCTAATCCAATTGCACGGCTGATAGAATGTTTGGCTTTGATTTCTTTGCTTTGTTAAAGGGTGGCAGTGGAGTAGTGAAGGAGTAAGAAGATTGGTCCCTTTGTTTCAAAATATGGGGGAAGGAGAGAATAGGAGGAGAAGAGATGTGGCCACTGAAGTACCTTACAACCTAGCTGGAGACCAACACATTGGAAAGAGTCACACCCATGAATGGATATATAGAAAAGAGAGAGATTGAACTAGGTAGAATGATACTAGAGAAGGTCATGAAGGAGGTGGGACTTCAGGTCACTATTTGGGACAGCAGGGAGGAGGAGGGAGAAGACATAAACTGGGGTCTGAGGGTCTTGGGCCATCCCTAAAACACACCGCAGGGTCCTCTCTGTCACAATACTACAATTATACATATGCCCTCACAGACTAGGACATATTTTTAATTTCTCAATCACCTAGCAACTTACTTCCACTCTACTAGTCTTGCTTCATTTAGCCTTGATAAATCAAAACTTGTTGCTATAGAAACCTCGGGCCTATTAAAAAGAAAGATTTAACGCTGCACTGAAACCTCCCCTTAAATAAAAACAAAAAACCAACTTGTTCCACCATATTTCTTCCCAGAAATGAAAACATTTATAAAGGTTTCCTTGACCACTGAGGGAAGAAAAATATGTTTATTACTCAATTTAATCCCTATGGACTCAATGGCCAGGCCACTGAGGAGGCCCCCAAACTTCCTGCCTTGGTAGATGTGATCCTCTGAAAGTAAAATTAGCCTTCCTGGCTGAACGTGCTCGCGGCTTTTCAAATGTGTACACTTCATCAGGGTTGTTATAAATAAATGGTATCTTGATTTAGGACACATCAGCTACCGTTGCTATTTCAGCGCTGCCTTAGCAGTCTACGCTTTCACTGCAAGCAGTGTTTACGGGCAAGAAAATGTGAGTGCAGGAGTGCGTACTTACCAGTGCCGAAGCTTTCCTCCCCACAAAGGGACAGTTTGCTTGCATCCATCAAATTCCCAAAAAACTTCCAGCCAGTTGGAGTCTCATACAAAGAGATCTTTGTAGCATTAGCCACCCTTCAAAGGCATGAAATCAAAGTTACATCACAGCAGGACCGTTAGCATGGCCATGTGAGGGATGGAAAATAGCAACCGTTATTGTAATCAACGGTCCCATTTAGCATTGCTCAGAGGTATACATAATTCTAAGATTGGTAGAAAATCGTAAGAGAAAACTTGTGCACAATGGGCTATTATACAGGGATTCAGGAGAGGAGAGTAAAAGAGTAAAATGAAAGGATTAATTCAGATCACTGAGTATAATATTTTAGAAGAAGCAACAGTAGCAAAATGTGCATGTCTGTCTTAGCCAGTTTAAACCTGTGTGTGTTGGATAAGAACTGCCTCTACACCCATTCCATAAAGAACAAAAGAATGATGTTTGAATGCACTCCTAGCATCACAGAATCATAGAATACTGCGTCTGGGAAGCCATCATTTTACAGAGAGGGAAACAGAGCCGAGAATGCTCTGTGGTCAGCCCAAAGTCAGCCAGCCAGGGCCCAGAGAGAAAATACTCAATGGGGTCACCCATTTGTACTGGCTTCACCCACACTGATCAATGGTCGCCTTTTCCCTCCAACACGTCTCTTACTTCTCCCTATATATCGTTCAGGTCCCTGGGTGGCACAAATGCTTTGTGCTCATCACAAAGCTAATGGTTCGAACCCACCCAGCAGCACCATGAAAGAGAGGCCTGGTGATCTGCTTTTATAAAGATTACAGCCAAGGAAACTCTACGGAGCTCAGTTTTACTCTGTAATGCATGGAGTCATCATGAGTCAGAACCTATTCAATGGCAACAGGTTTGGTTTATGTATCGTTTGACTACTAAAATACCTCCTTTGAACTTTTTTTTTTGAAGATTTCTTTTCCTTTGAACAGGAAAAGTTACCTGGTAAGTTTCATTCACTATTTTACTGAAATTTGCTTTCCAGAAGGCTTGCCTTATTCCTAGCAAAGTAATGCCATGTTTAGATTCTAACATTTCAGGAAAATCAAATTCATGACAGTTCAGTCAAGACATGTTTTGAAAACTGTGAAAATACATTAAACTCTAATCAGGATAATGAGGTATTTCAGTTGAGATTCCATACGTAGCTTATCAATTTTTCCAAAAATGGGAATTACACTGTTCCTGAATGACAGACAATTTATTACAAAACCTGATATGTCTACTTGCAGTAGCATGACCACAAACTAGCTCATGCCTTTAGGTGTAGGCTCTGAAGACAGAAGCCTGGGTTCTAATTCCAGCTCTGATTTGGCTGTGGGATCTTGGGCAAAATTGTTAACCTCTCTGGCCTCTGATTGCCTCTTCTGTAAAATAAGGTTTGCTATGAGGATCGGCTCAACAGCACACCACAACCGCATGAGGATCAGTTGAGATGGTAAAGGTAAAAGCATTTTATAAGTTACAAACCACTATATGAATATTAGTCATTATTTTCTTATTAGCTAAAGTGAAATCAGCACTAATTCTGTAACACCCCATAGGAAACGTTTGCATGACCCAGTAGCTGGGGGCAGAGGCTCAAATCCGGACTCAGCCATTTACTAGCTGGGTGACTTTGGGGAAATTACTTAACTTCTTTGGCCTCTTGCTTTCCCACCTGTAAAATCAGGTTATTAATAACATTTACCTTTTGGGGTTGGTTTGAGAATTAAGTTACTTAAAACATGTAAAGTACTTAGCACAAGGTAATGCTCAATAAATATTAGCTACTATTTAAGAGTCTAGATATATACATTCTGCCTTCCTCCCTAGCTTTAACCCTTTTTTCTTTCTTTCTTCCTTCCTTTTTTCATTTCTCTCTCTCTCTGTTCATTCATTCAGCAAACATTTACTAGGCACATGATATGTTCTAGTTAATATTTTCCCTGGTGCTCATTTGCTATTTATCACTTAGATTTTTCAGTTGTTGTAGATATGGTCTCATAAGCTACCTTAAAGCCTTTGTATAATGAAGTGATAATAATAGACAAACAAACACATCTGAGACATCAACCACTTATTGTCACTGGTTCCTTTCTTTCTTATAAAAGTTGAGTGTTTCCGCAGAGTGAGGGGTGTTTTGTGTGTGTGTGTGTGTGTGTGTGTTTAATACCTATTTGACTTTTCTGTTAATTTAGATTTTGGACAAATAAACATTTACTAAGTCTTTGTGTACATGGACGTCTAATGAGGGTGGGTGGGGAAAGTTTCCGTGAAAGTTTTGTTGAAACACTGAAATTACTTAAAACTGCTCTTTCACCCTAACCCTATGCACGCTGCTAAAGGAAAATAATCCTCTAGAATGATCTCTTGAGTGGATGGAAGTGCCAGCCATTCATTAACATTCATTCATTCATTTTTCAAATAACTGTATATATACGCCTATGTGTGCCTGGAACCCTAAGTGGCACAGTGGTTAAGAGCTCAGGCTGCTAACCAAAATTCAGCAATTTGAATCCATCAGCTGCTCCTTGGAAACTGTATGGGGCAGTTCTACTCTGCCCTATAGGGTCGCTATGAGTCAGAATCAACTCAACAGCAATGGGTTTGGTTTACGTGTCCATGTGTGTATGTGTATCCTACTATGCACCAGTCACTACGGTCGAGCAGAGTTTGGGATGGTAGATAAGATAGTCTTTCCTCTGTAGAAGTTTACAGTCTAGTTTATAATCTAGCAGAGGGGACAGGCAAATAAACAGGCTATCAGAACACAGTGTGGTAAGGGCTGAGATGAAGGAAGTGCAGGGTGCTATGGGAAAACAGAGCACAGACATCCAATCCAAAACAACATCATCCATTCCCTCATAGGATAAATATTTATTCAGCACATACTATGCATCAGATGCCTAAACTGAAAGGACAGGGAGGAGTATTCCAGGCACAGGGAATAGCACAGTGAAGACCAGGATGATCAGTGACAAGGAGGGCCAAGGGAAGGGAGAGACCTACCGGTCGAGGGCACCACTTGTGGGCATGCTGCGTGCAAAGCCACGGACCCCGGTTTGCTGGAAATATGGAATGCTGAAGATGTTGGCAGCAATGACAGCCACAGAGTCTGAGGGGTTCACAAAAAACCCGTGTTTGCCCAGAATCATGTTTCGATCCTTTGGGAGAAGGGGGATTAAAATGAAGAACTTTCAATCAAACTGCTGAAGAAACCAAACTCTTTTAAATAGGGTTTTATAACATTTAAAACTATGTAATTTAAAACATGTATTCATTCGGGGTTATAAACACTAGATTTTATTTTTAATGAATTTGTACAGTACCATCAGGTCCTTGGGAGTTAAAACAAACTCCTTTTGAGCTGAATATTCTATTCTCTCTCCAAAGGCCAACTAACTTTAACCTCCTAGACCTTTTCCAAATTCTGCAACCAATCACCTCTCTCTCAAAGGAGCAGAGAGAATGCACTGAGAGAGGAGATGCTGGCTGTTTACACAGATTGGAAGATCTCCAGGCATCCTCCGAGGAACAAAGGCAGACTTCTTAAAGGAAGTGCTTCTAAATCATGACCCCTCCATTTGGTGCTATTCCTAACAAGACATGCTACCACCTTCACTGCTTCCTTGATCCCTGGCACAGGGGAGGTACTCAATTAACTGAGCGTATGGTGGGAAAACTCCCATCATGCACTGCATCAGAAGGATGCATTGTAAAATAGTGTCTGCTAGGAACCCCTTTAATTTCCCCAAATTTTGAAATTGGAAAAATTATTTTTCAGGAAATAGTGGATTCTAGCTGATGTTAGAGAACAATAGCAACAACAAATGTGTGTTTTCAACCAAGCGTGTATGTACTGTGCCTACTATCTGCCAGACACCAAGAATACAAACCTGAATAAAACACTGTCTTTTCCTTGTCTATTGCATATTTATCAATTTAAATAAAACGGCTTGTTTATTTTTTAAAAAAAATCATTGTAGGGAAGGGATAAAAGGTTAATTCTGTCACTGGAGTTTTCAAGTAGGCTATTACAGTTTAATCACTCAGCTAAAGTGAATGAAGGAATGGGTATAATATAAGACCAAACCCTTTCCATAAAATTGAGTAAGTAGCCAGTTGCTGGTTGAGAACAGAAACCTACCTTAGGATAGGTATCTAGAACCCAACCAGTTCATGAAGCACCAGTCATTACACCATAAATGGGACCTAATCACCTTGCCACTCTTAGCAAACATGAATGTCTGAAATTAAGCACATGGGTTTGTTATTTCTGTGTTCTGATAACTTAGTCCTGACCCCTAGAGCAAAGAGGAATCCTTGAATGTCACTCACCAGGCTCCCAGGGCCTGGCAGAAGCAACCCATCTTTACCTTTACCTGCAGGATCATGCCTGGCCTGCATCAGAGTTCACGTAAATTCACTTGTACCCACCCCATCGCCATCAAAGGCAGCCCCAAAATCATGCTCTCCTGTCTTCATGGTCTCCACCAGGTCTGCTGCATAGGTGAGGTTGGGGTCAGGGTGGTGGCCTCCAAAGTCCTCCAGAGGAACGCAGTTGACTGCCGAGTTTGCAGGGGCACCAAGTTCTTCACAGAGAATCTTCTTTACGTACGGTCCCACAACTATGTAAAGCATGAAATAAAAGTACAAAGAATGAGAAAATAAATATTATTAAAGTACAAGAGGATTGGGGTCAAGGCCGAGGCATTCAGAGAAGGGAATGGCCTGAGCAAAATGAGAACTTGCAGACTGCATTCAGGGGCCAGTGGAGAGATGAGTCTGACTGGATAGAAGGTTTCACAAAAAGGAATAATGAGAGATTAGTTTGGAAAGGTTGGGGCCAGTTCGTGAGGGGAATAGAGGGAAAAGGAAGGGGACTAACCCTTACTGAGGCTCTACTATACACCTGTGCCAGGTGCTTCTCAAACATTTTATCATTCAGTCCCTCAAACAACCCTATAAGCATCTAAGCTTAGTGCTTATGAGCTTTGACTCCGTAATCAGAGTGCCTGTGTTCAAATCCTGAATCTGCCTATCATTGACTGTATGACTGACTGTAGGTAAGTTATTTAATCTCTGTGCCTGTGCCTCAGTTTCCCCATTTTTAAAACAAGGATAATATAGTAGCTACCTCACAAGGTTAAATGAACTAATAGACATGAAGCACTGAGAACAGTACCTAGAACGTATGTTATAAATGTTTGCATGATGATTATCATCTCCAACTAATAGATTTAGATAAGAAAACTGAGGTTCTTAGGTGAAGATATTTGCCCAAATTTATACAGCTACTGAGAGTGGGAGCTGGAATTCAAAGCTCTTATCTTTCTACTATACCAGTATGTCTGATCTGACAAACTGGTTAAAACACAAACAAACAAAGATCAGTTAGAAAAAAATAAAAGGGAAAGGAATAGAATAGAAATTAAATGAAAAGAAAAACCAGTCACATACTTCTATGATGACATTTTATATAACTACTAACATTCATCTCTAAAATGTTGAGAATGTATTTGCATCAAGAAAGGTACTGACTGCAACATATGCCACAGAGGTCAAAGCAGTATAGAATATGTGTCTCCTATTGAAGCCCTGGTGGCACAGTGGTTAAGAACTCAGCTACTAACCAAGAGGTTGGCAGTTCGAATCCACCAGCTGCTCCTTGGAAACCCTATGGGGACAGTTCTACTCTGTCCTATAGGGTGCTATGAGTCAGCATTGACTCGATGGCAATGGGTTTGGTTTTTATTTTGGTTTATTAGCAGCCACATGTAAGAAGGGTGTTGAGACACCACAGAATGAGGCCAAGGCAGCCAGGGCTGTGGGGGATATAGCAACTGAGGCATTAGAAAAACAACTGACAAGCCTGGAGAAAAAAAGGCTACTTCATGACTAGCTCCTCCTACCCAATGGCCCATCACAAGCTCTATTCTCAAATCAGCCCAGGCTTCTCCTCATTCCACTAATGTGACGTCTATTGTTAAGCCTTTATGCCTTTACTATGGCCATTGTCTCAGCTGGGAATGACCTTCACTTGATTTTCCACCACTCTCGATCTTTCTTTCATAAAAGCTGAGTTTGCTGCCACTTCTTCCGGGAAACCTTTCTTGATACCCCTAGTCAAACCACGCCTTCTTCCACACCCCCAGAGAGAATACTCAAAATTCTATACAACTCGCATTTTGTTGGCCTTGCAGTGGTTAGTTGTCAGCCACGTCATCTCTCCACAGGATCACAAGCTCTTTGAAGGAAGTTGTCTGGCAAGTCCCTGCCTACCCTCAGGAATATGTGTGGCAAGTATTCAATACATGTCTGTTGAATGGTTTGAAATGACAGGATAGCTTTTTATAAATAAGGAAGTAGACCCATTCTGTGTGACTCCAGAAGTCAAGCTAGGACATAAGGGGAGAGGTTCCAGGGATAGAAGATGTCAGCCCTCTAGAAGGTTTCTTAACAATGGTTTTGCAGTGTAACAGAATACCCTGAATAACATCCTCAAAAGGGTTCAAGCAAGGGCAGAAAGTATTCCTCAATCAGGCAGAAGGTTGAATTCCAACACCAGGAAGAATCCTTGCCACTCAAAGATTCCAAAGTTCTAAAGTATTAAAAAACAAACAACAAACCTAAGGGCCCAGGAAATCCCATATTGTTACGTGTGTGAAAACCCAAGGGTTCAGGTTCACGATGACCACTACCATTTATATTGACCTGGTCACACAACCAGCAGAGGAAGAAGAGGGGGAGACATACATCCTGTTGTTCCTGACTTTAATCCTCAGCTTGCTCTTCCCCTCTTCTAAGAAAAGGAGTGTGTGGGGGCAGGGGGTGGGGATGTGGGGTTCAGGAGCGTGTTTACTCCATCTAGCAAATGGCGAGAAGGGGGTGTTCAGGAAGAATGAAAAGTATCTTCTGAGGGGGAGGAAAAGTCCACAACAGATGTATGTTACTCAAAACCTAGTTCCTGATGCTTAATGTGGAAACACTGACCTTCAGACTAGTTTGCCACGAGGAACGCCTCTAATATTTTTGCCACAACTATTAGATGTTTATCTGTATGACTAATGTGCTAAAGTGGTTGCAAAAAACAACTCTTTAAAAGCTATCAAACAGAGAGAGATTGGAGAAAAGTTCTTGTTAAAGCATCATGATACATGTAGTAGAGAGCAGCTTTGTATCTTTCAGAGAAAGGAATTAAACAGAAACGGCCCCATACCTCCGTGCATGGCGTCGATACGGATCTTTAGTCGGTTTGGCCCAGAAAGCAGTTCTTTCAGTGCATTGAAATCAAAGATGTTTCTCAGCATCGTGCCATAAGTTTCCACTGAATCCACAATTTCCACTGTGAGGGCAAGCAACATCAAAAGATGGAACAACTAAACACATTTAGAACTATTATTCTTGGAAATGATCATATTACTGTAAACTTGCAGTGGCTATTTTATAAGGACAGTTATTGAGCAGCTTCAATATGCCAGGGCTGTTGTATGATATTCAATACTAACAATTGTCCTGAAAGATAAATGTTATTAGTCCTATTTTATAGATGAGGAAACTCAAGGTCCAGAGCTTAAGTAACTTGCCCACACAGCTGGGATGGGGCACAGAGGGGATTTTTGACTGAGGTTTGTCTGACTGTAAACTCTGCTTTGCTGGCACACTGCTTCCATACCCATCTCCATAAGAGCTGTGCTTTGTGTCAGAGATAACAGAAAAAGTAGTGACTACTTTTCTTCCCTTGCCTTTTTCTAAGTGCACTGCCATCAAGACTTAATGCTAAAAAGCAGGGGAAAAAATCTAATAAATCATTTTTCACATACACTGCTAAAGGACTAAAACAAATATTAAAAAAAATTACTGTTGTTGGATTTTCAGGACTTTGAATATTTGCAAAACATGAAATGTTTAGGAAACTCTCTAGTGTTTCAAACATTAAGAATGTCCATCAGATGTACCAAAGTGTCACTACATCTTTGTGAGGATGCAGTTGTCAGCTCTTGATGATAAGTTCAAACGAAAAATGCATTCCATAGAGCTGCAGTCCAGAGAGAAGAATACATGTTAGGGCAAAGTCAGAACGCAAATCACATTGCCAAACATCTCGTTCTCATTTTATTCATATGAACATAAACATTTATTCCTTCAATTATTATAATACCTTGTCATTCAACAACAAAATGTTAACCACAGCTACGCAGGGAGTTTCATTTTAGCCCCCCCAAAAAGGTCAGTAATTTGTTTTACTGAATATATAGGAGCCCTGATGGCACAGTGGTTGAAGCACTCAGCTGCTAACCAAAAGGTCAGCGGTTCGAACACAACAGCCGCTGGGTGGGACAAAGACATGGCAGTCTGTTTCCCTAAAGATTTACAACCTTGGAAACCCTATGAGGCAGTTCTATTCTGTCCTATAGGGTCACTATGAGTTGGAATGGACTTGATGGCAGTGGGTTGGTTGGGTTTTATATTATATAAACACTTGAGTTTGAATCCTCATTTTTACCACTTTCTGACCATGTGAACTTGAGCCTGTTACTTAATCTCTCTGAGCCTTTGTTTCTTCATCTGCAAAATCATGGATACTGACAGTGCTGTCCTCACAGGGCTACTGTGAGAATAAAATGGGACAACGTATGTGAAGAACTTGGCACATAATAAGAGTTCAAGAAATGTTAGCTATGAATATAATCTTATAGGTCTTCTCGTCAAGGCCATTTGCTTTACAGGTATAGAAACTGAGGCCTAGTGAGTTGGAAATGACTTACCCAAGGTCACACAGCTGATCACTGGTAGGGCCCAGAGAGTTCAGTCTCTAGACTCCCAGCCCCAATTCCAGACCTGCTAATTAACGTATGCAAAGCTTAGTGACCACAATCTTTCCAAAGTTCAAGAGCCTCGTTATTATCTTGAAAGGCAAACTTCTCACATTGGAAACAGAACTGGGTAGGAGGGGGAAAGAAAGTAAACATGCCTGTGAAGGGTTTGAATTTGTTCTCCAGATCAAACTGCTGCTTTCCCAGAACTCCAAGGTCTATTTTCAGGTCAGGGCAAATCACATATTCTTCAATTGTCTTGCTGATTTGGAAAATTTTATCAGTTATTGCTTCTGGGGCAGGACCTAGGAATCAAACAGCAAACAGTAGGTCATTTTGTGTTGCTGACATGAAAATACAAAGAATGTTAAGCTCACCTATTCCTCTTCACTAACACATCCACCATCCCATCATTAGGCAGCGAAGTACCAGGATTTTCTAAAAGAAAACACCATGTTTGATGATCATGCCTGCATGGCTCCTCATATCCAGGTACAGTGGGATAAAAAGCATTTCACTCTCAAGGAAAGGAAACAAGAAATCCCTCACTAAGGGTCAGAACCAGAACCCTGGCCTCCCAAAGTCTCAGTTACTGGTTTATCCTCACAAATATGAAATTGTCCTTAAAATAACAACACTCTACTCAGTCATGTTGTGCAGAAGACATATTGTGTTCCTATTTGTTCCTTTTATATAGCTGAGAAAAGGACAGAAAACATGCAGTAAAGCTTATCAATTCTGTGTTGACCTTTATAAAAGTATTTGTTGTTGTCATTGTTGTTAGGTGCTATTAAGTCGATTCTGACTCATAGCGACCCTATGTGACAGAGCAGAACTGCCCCATAGGGTTTCCTAGGTTGTAATCTTTACGGGAGAAGATCACCAGGTCTTATCTCCTATGGAACTGATGGTGATTTCAAACCACCTACCTTTTGGTTAGCAGCCAAGTGCTTAACCATTGTGCCACCAGGGCTCCTTATAAAAGCATTTACTTCCCACAAAAAAATAAATAACAGCAGACTCGCCTCCACTAGAAATATTGAATTTGATTCCAAAATCTCCATTGGGCCCTCCTGGATTGTGGCTGGCTGTCAGGATGATTCCACCAATGGCTTTGATTTTTCTAATGATGCAGGATACAGCAGGGGTAGAGAGGATTCCATTCTGTCCAATGACCAAGCGACCAATCTAGGAAAAGAAATTCAGAGCACACACTTTAACATCAATAAATCCACGGGGCCACTGCACAGAAACACCAAGACGACAGGCAGATGGGCAAAGAAATATTCTACTGGACCAGACGAGATTTTCTTTCACGAAGATCTACGGCTTGGATAGTATCTACCATATTATGGAAGTAGAATCAACATTGTTAAATAAAGCCATTCCTTCAGATGATATTTTGAGACTTTGCAGTTTTAGAATAGTGTGCTCTGGCAATGTTTTAAGGTTCTTGCAAGAAAACATACAGTATTTAAAGCAGGCCTTTTCAGACCAGATTTATAATTTGAATTTATTGAAAAATTGTGTGAAAACCCACATTTTTATCCAACTCAATCATACTTTCAATCCACCTTGGCAAAGAGGATATAGGTTAGCTAGTTAAAAGGATTCTACCCAAAGGGAAGGACTTTGTAAAATAAAATTTTAAAAAAGCAACAAAGGTAAACTTTATATGAAGAACTATATAAAATGTATCTATCTCTTGAGTTTGTCTTTTCAATTAAGCTTGGATTTTCCTATCGTGGATTTTTGCAGAGCAAGATACCCCTGGCCCATGTTAGCTTGTACCCTGGGTTACCTCGTGGGCCTAAAGCAGGGAATGCTGGGAGTTATTACTGAGTAAACCAGCTGGAACCGCCTACATGAAACCCATACAGATGGTACTTTTGTTGTGTTCTTAACTCACTTTCCGTATCTCTCACAGATGGTATCAGCACAGCTCCTAAATTTTCCTTTGCTAAAATGATAGTAATTTATATCTGTTTCAACATGATCCATGTTGGAAAAGAAGGAAGAGATTCTGTCAGTTCCTCTGACATACTTGAAGACCTGAGTATTACATAAAGGGATTTATGAAATAGGGAGGTTGTGTCCTCCCTCCATTCTCTCTTCTCAGAGAAGAAAGGGATAGGAATGTTCTCAAAGTTTCCATTTATTATTCCTTTTTGTCCTATCCAGGATAAATATGGTTGAAGAAATTAGTTGATGGTGGAAGATATGTTTCCAAGTGTTGAACATGCCAGTGAAATACCTGGATTCCCTGGGAAAATTTTTCTGGGACTGTTACCTTTGCCACCCTCCTATAGGTCACTGAAAACTTGACTGCCTTATAATTCAATCCCTCTGCTACCAACCAAGGAGCCCTGGTGGCACAACGGTTAAAGTGCTCGGCTGCTAACTGAAAGGTCAGTGGTTCAAAACCACCAGCTGCTCCGTGTGAGAAAACACCTGGCAATGTGCTCCAGTAGATTAAAGCCAAGGAAACCCTATGGGCCAGTTCTACTCTGTCCTATAGGGTCGTTTTGAGTTGGAATCAACACGACAGCATATGACAACAACTACCAACCACCTCCCAGGAAGCAGTTGGTTTATTTCTGTTACTTCTTGGTTCTCATATGTCTTGACTCCGAACAATTTTGGGGGTCACTGCACTAATATATTTATGTTCTGCCTCCCCTGTAAAATGGTAAAAACCAGGGTAGCTGCTGCAACTAGGCTCCTAAATAGACTAAAGGAAGCTGCAGATAATGTGAAATCAATACCAATGATCACTACTGAGCTGCAGAGTGCTTCCTACATCCCACAGCACTTTCAATCCATTCTCACATTTGCTCCTCTAAAGTACCACTGCATAGATGAGGAGGCTGAGGTTCAGAGTTGTCAAAATCCTGCCCAGTCATTCATTCCTGCACCCATCCAACAGCAATAATAACAAGTATTTATGGAAAGGTGCTATGCCAGACACTGGGATAGATGATGTGATGAGCGAGGTCATACCACAAGTTAGTGGCCATAGCTGGGAGAAAAGCGTTGAAACCTCCTGACTCAATACAGTGGGAATGGTGACATTTTACCCTTCCAGAAGTTTCCCAGTGTAGTTCCGAGCAAAATAAAAGCCTATGGTTGGGCATTTCCAGAATTTTTATAGGAAGGGCTTGGAGGGGGTGGTTACAATTTTATTAGCCAGAGTGACAGGTGGAATTAGCTGGAAATTGTATTTGCACGTCTAGTATATTCGCTCTTCCTTAGATTTTATATGTTGGTGTGAAAGGGGAGGTTGACGAATATTAAGTTATGTCCCCTAAGTCATCCCTTAATGCTGCCATCCCTCATGATGAGATCTGGTCCCAGACTGAGAGGATTGTACCAGGGGGTAAGAATAGAAAGGAAAGTCAAGAAATAAAAGCAAGGAAAGTCCAGGGTAGCTTCTGTCTCTTGGGCCCAAGAAGAGGTACACTTGGCCAAAGTACTCCCCTTCCAGACCAGACTCTCCCCTGTAAATCACCCTCTGGAATATTAACCTTAACCTGATATTGGGAGATAAGGCATCCTTCCCTTAAAGATGCCTAAACCATTGGAGGAACTCCTGACTTAATTCTCCCCTACTCTGCTCCCATCTGTATCCCCCTTGCTCTACTCAGGCTGAATCCATCCTACCTGCTCAGGCCCACTCAGCTCATCTTTCTAAGCCAAAGTTCTAGCTATGTCCCTCCTCTACCCAAAAAACCTTTCCTAGTTTCCAAGTGCCTCCCAAATTAGAGAGAACACCCTCAGCCTGGCACCAAGAGTCCTTCATCAAACAGCCTCTCCTGCCTTTGCTCCTTTCCCACTGCCCCCAAATGACTCACATCACGCCACCAAGCTGGATCCTCTTTGTTCCCCAACATTTTATAGTCAAACATGGCAGGGAGCAAACTTTTAAATTTTCCTTTAATTAAAACTAGGGCCTAGTGTTTTCTTATATTTCATAAAAAAAAAAAACAAGTTTCATTTTCTTTGTCCTGCTGGTCGTACACACTGCTTCTACTCTTATTTCTAAGTTATGTCTAACAGCTCTGGGGACTGAATGAGATATCAATATTCCAGATGGGGCCCCACCAATGTCTGATTCTGTGCATTAAAACTTGCTGTAAATGCAGACCAAACCTGTACCAAACCCATTGCCATCTAGTCAATTCTAACTCACAGCGACCCTATAGGACAGAGTAGAACTGCCCCATAGGGTTTCCAAGGAGCAGCTGGTGGATTGGAACTGCTGACCTTTTGGTTAGCGGCTGAGCTCTTAACTACTGTGCCACCAGGGCTCCGTAAATGCAGACAGCTTTAGGCAAATAAAAACAAAGGGAAATTTTTAATAAAAGCAGAGTATAGTCTACAATTCACAAATGCACCAGACAAAGATGTACCAAAGGGAAAATAAAATGATCTCCATTTAGCTCACTAGGCTGATGAGTCCTTCAAGAATCTGCTCATGGCTGGAGTTGTACTGACAAAGATGAGGAAGGAACATTATCTTCTATCAAAATCTATGGCAATAATTATCCTTCTTTAGATTTCCTACCTGTAGTCCTGTCTTCGGATTGTGATTAAGCATACAACCCACAATCAAAGGGATGTTAAAAGAGGCAGAATTTACGATACATTAGAAAAAACAGAAATCAATCAATATAGGATTTGTTAGGTTTTATCAGATTAAAGTACTTATCGGTCCACTAAAATGTTTTAAGTAATTCAGTTGGGTGGCATGACTGCTTTAAATGCAAAGCTATTTCTAATAAGCCATGTCCTTGAAAAGAATTGAAAATATTGCTTGGACTGCCACAGCTCTAACAAATAGGCAGCTACCATATCTAGTCAACCATTATCACTTAAATGTATTATTTAGCAAACCTCACATTGTAAATCTGAGGAAGTGAATAGGATCTGCCTGAATTACACATTCTCACCACCTCTTCCACATCCTTCAGCTCCACACAAAAATGAAATGAAGCCAAATATATCACAGAAAAGGGGACAGTGTACCAGATCCACTCAACAGTCTAGATATACGCGGAGAAATAATGTTCCATTCGTTCCCCCTCCAAAGATTAAAAGCATCTTAATACCATCCCCTTTGCAGCTCTCCTCAAACATGAAATTTACAGCATGTCACATTTTATCTTAAAAATGTGTATGCTTCATAATAATTTCATATTTGAGTGCTTTATCAGCAGTTTTTACACGAGAGGCATTCAAATTCTAAAACTCAGTATCAAAAGAAAGCTGTCAATATACAATTGGATCTACAAACACCTTTAAACTTGGTTTGGTGGTATGGGTTTTGTTTTATTTTCTTCCCTTTTAATTTGGCTTTTGCAATCACACCTGCTTGGCATATTATTAAAATAGATTGAAAATGAATGCCGGACACATTTGGTTGCAATGCTAAATTTTATGTTCCCAGAGCCAGAATCTCTTCCTGAAAGGAAATACAACAGATTTTTTTTCAGTTTATGGGTACTTAAGGGCTAGGTGCTCCAAACTGTTGTTAAGCATTATCTAAAACACTAAAAATATATTTTGGGTCCTATGGTGGAATCTGCAGAGCAAAAACAGCAATGTCCTGATGCCTGCTTTACTGTAAATCAGCAGGGCTCTGCAAACAGATTATCAAGAGCAATGCTTTCTGGTGTAATAGTCCTTCTGATTTGGCTAATCCAGCCAACATGGTTTTTCATGATGCAGAGCTTTAGCAGACCCTCCTTATATTGTAGGCTCACCTATTATCTCTACCCTGTTGCACAAATCACCACACACAGGGCTTCTTTGTGCCCAAGGTCATTATAAGCAGGTCTCCCTGTAACAGGTCCTCCTGGTAGGCTCACACCTAACATTTTCCAATCCCCTGCTAGCATTTCTGCGTGACTACCAGGATCCATAAACAACAGCATGCCCTGGTTTTTGTTTTCTTGTTTGACAAGTGACTGAACTTCAATAAGGAAGTCATCGACAGAAAACAAAATCCTCCTCTTTACCACTCATTAGAGCCCTGTACATAGGATATGGTGCCCCTTGAAGCTAGTTAGAACATAGATAAGACAGCTTACGGCTGAGAGTGTGTTTTAAGTGTCTAAAAAGCAACAGGTACTATTTCAAGCAACAGGGACAGAACACAACACATAAGAAGTTGAGCTTGCATTTCTAAATCTGCTAATATAACTAACGTAATTCCAGGAGTCTTTTCACAATCTACAATCTCTGAAGTCACAACGAAACTTAACTGGATGTTAGTAAAATTGAGATGTACATAAGTACGCCACATACAAATCCTATACTTCTGTATATTTCTGAAAAATTAAGACGTAATTTGGAGAGTCAGAAATGTAACAATAAATATACCAACCCCATTGGCAGCAGCCATCTGCACTATTGTTTCTACTGCCGATTTATTAAAATACCGCCCATCTCCACCAACCACCAGTGATGATCCCTGGCGCTCTTTTAGGTCTATGGAAAAGAATATACTCTGGATGAAATTCTCCAGATAGCACGGCTTTGCCTCAAAGTAATAAGTTTTCTTCCGTAATCCACTAGTTCCTGGTTTCTGGTCATTGTAGGGAGCCGTAGCAAAAGTCAACAGAGGGAGAGGACCTTCTTCCATTTTTCCATACTTCCCAGAAATCCATTGATCAAAATCACTCATCTTTCATTTCCACCACTTGGCTTAGTGAAGGTATCCAGAAAGCAGTCAAGGGTCCCCCAAATAGTCTGTCAAGCCTGAAGCTGCAACGGTGTCATTTGAGAAACTAAAATAGAGGTTTTGCCTGGACGATCACTCTCAACAGGGAAGCACGGTTGATTCCTTGTTGTTGTCGCCCCTTGTAAAAAAATGATGGGCCATACACACACACACACACACCCACACAAGGCAGATCTTCAAAGTTGTTTTGATGAGGACACTTCTACCCACATAACCGAGCCAAATACCCTTCAATTATTTTTGCCTCATTTCCCCATTAGGGTGGAGAGAGCTCCAGAGGGTGTTGCAGGCAGCAGACTTCAGTTACAAACACCAGATGGCTGCCAGACTTCAGCCTGGGAGCCCAGGCAAAGGCTGAGTGATTCCTGCCCTGAGAAGCAGATTTGTGAACAGGACACCCTGGCATGGCTCTCATTGCTCCTGCCACTTCTTAAACCAGAGACTCTCTGGGCATTCATCATGGAGAAGGCCATCTGCAGCTAAAGTTGTTCCATGCCATCTAGCAAGTTAAAAGGTCAATCTTTAAATGGAAGTGAGGGATCTCAGTTACTTCTGGTTTCTTCACATTGCCTTCATTTTGAAATCCAACGGATTTTTCACTTCCCACATGCAATCCCAGGTAGAAGGGAAAAAAAAATTTATCTAACAGGACAGATTTATTCATTGGCCACCAAAGATTTAATAAAAATAGCACTCAGATCTAGAAGAATGGATACTTAGAAATACACTCTGAATGACTAATGCCGTTGTTGTGAGTTGCCGTCAAGTCGATTCTGACTTGTGGTGACCCCATGTGTGCAGTAGAACTGCTCCACAGGGTTTTTGAGGCTGTGATCTTTCGGAAGCAGATCACCAGGCTATCTCCTGAGGAGACTCTGGGTGGGTTTGAACCACCAACCTTTCAGCTGGTAGTTGAGTGCTTAACCATTTGCACCGCTGGGACTCCAAATGACCGATAGTGATTTGTTTCTTGAACTTACGGGGAAGTGAGGGTAAGAATGCACCAAATCTTGAAAAAGTAAACAGAATAGGAAAAAAAAAAGTTTTTTTCTGAGTGTAGGAGGTTTGCTCATTTTATGATTTAAAAAAAATAATATGAATGTAAGATTAAATTTTGTTTTTTTTACTTTTCTCAGTCTCAAATAGACTTGGCTTTTATGAAACAATTTTTAGCAAAACACTTAAAGTGTTTTGCAATTGAAGAACCTAAGACATTTAAAAATATTTTACCTGAATAATTTAATATCCAATCCCATTTAATCCCTCAGACTTTATTAATAATCTATTTAAATACATACATGTGTGTTCTTTATCTGGTTCAGCAGAAGTTGCCAATTAAGAAGCTCCATTGTCAAGGTTTCAGTAAACTTGTTAAGCATGCTTAAAAAGTACGCCAGGACTATTTATACCGCATGTTCCCGGAGTCTGATGTGCACTGAGGAGTCAAGGTTTTCAAGGGAAAGGTAAATAACCATTTGAGATACAAAATCTAAGTATTTTTCTACTAACTTGTCAAGCAAGGTCAAAAGTAAACAGGCATTTTGAGCAGCCAACTGCCTTCTCTGAGGTAAGAAAGTCCCTGTGTCCCAGGGGCTGTGTTATAGGTTGAATTGTGTCCCCAAAAAAGATACACCCTAACTCCTGGTACCTGCGAACGTGACCTTGTGTGGAAATAGGGTCTTTGAAAAGGTTTTCATGAAATTAACACAAGATGATACTGGAGTTGGTGGGTCCTACTCCAGTCTGAGTGGTGTCCTTATAAAAGAAGAGAAGAGACAAAGAGAGACAGACGGAGGTAAAACAGCTGTGTGACCGTGGAGTTATACTGCAGCTGCAAGCCAAGGAACGCATGGCGCTACCAGAAGCTGGGAGACAAGAAAGGATCTTCCCCTGAGAGGCTCCAGAGAACATCGTGCTGCTAACACCCTGAATCTGGACTTCTAGCCTCCATAGCTGTGAGACAATAAATTTCTCTTCTTATAAGCCACCTAATTTGGGGTGTTTTGTTATGGCAGCCTGAGGAAACCAATACAGGTTGTCTGCACAGGACTATAGAGCTAAACAGAAAGCAGGCCACTGGCAAAGGAGCCTGGCCTCCTTCAAATGACAAACAGGGCTGGCCCGTGTGCATGGAATCCTCCAGATGTAACATTAAAACAGTTCCCAATATAGGACTATTAAGTTGAACACTAGTAAGCCAAAAGGCAGTTACTTTATATAGCTTGTTTTGGCTCTTATTTAATTTTAAAACTAAAATTTTTAAAAATTATATTAAAAAGAGAGCTTGCTTTATTAACAGTAGTTTACATAACCACTTTTTTTATGTTTTAAGTCACTACAAATGCATTTTTTAATCATATTTTTTAAGGTCTGTGCCAGGTTTTCTTTGTTTTTCAGACAAGTTTGCAAAAACTGGGCCAGGATATGTGTCTTGACATATTCAATAATAGATCCAGATTTATGTAACTTGAACACAATAATCTCTTCATTGGAAATAACAGAGCAACCAACCACATAATTGGTAGTTTTCTTAATGAGATCTTGGAATCCCAGGGCAGAGTCAGGGGCATTTGGACACAAGGGTTCTCCCACATCCCCAGCCCAAGCTTCTCTGCTCACCCAGTGCATCACATTCCAACATGTTCTCTGATGGTGGCCTGCCACTCTCTTGATGCCACTCTTTCCGACGCTGGGACTATGAGAACAGCGTTTTGAGCAACTATATATGCCTGGCACGGTGTTTGTCAGTACACAAAGCTAAACCAGAAAAACCCTACAACCCTTGCCCTAGAAAAGTTTCTCTACTAAAAATGGGCCTCAGTCATAATTCTACAGACACGATAGAACTCAACTCCATATAAAAATATTACCAGAAGCAGCAATGTTAGATGGACCGTGAAGTGTGGTAAAAAAGAAGAGGCATTAAAAACATTAATTTGTTCTAGCTCTCCAGCAAAGGTTGAACTTCATCTTCAGAAACGTTACTGTCGAGCATAGCGAACCCAATTTGGCCTAATGAATTCTCCTGCATTGCCAGTACTCCTTCACAATGACACAAATTACATTTAAACCATAAGGGGGATTTAAGGATTACTCCCTTCAGACACAGAACTTTCATACTGGTCTTGGGTCCAGTCAATTTCACCACAGCAGAGTTAGGAACCCCTTCACTCCCGGCCTCACAGTCTCCACCTCCCATTCTGATGAGAAATGATACTGTACTAGTTGAATGCAGCAGAAACTGTAGACTTGCCAATCCTTCATATATTCTTTCTTTCAATCAACACATTTGTAATAGGGCAGCTAACTCCTATGTCCCAGGCACCAAGCAAAGCCTGGAGCGAGAACCTGAGCAGGTTCACCTCTTCACACCAAGAGTACTTCTTTGGCAAATGCCACAGGAGTGGACCCAGGGGATGGAACTGCCAACCCTGTCCCCCAGGTACAAGCACTAGAAAAAAGCTTCTAATTCTGCTAAGAGCAGCAGGGATCATCAGACCTCTAGGCCAAGGTCTTACCCTTGTGATGATGGCTGCAGGTGCCTGCCCCTGAACTTGAGAGCTTCGGGTACTTGTCCCAGTGGTGGGAAGTACAACCTAGGAAACAGTTATTTATTTCTGCAACAACATGAAATAAATGTCAGCCCCAGGCTAGGCATTACAACATAATGGAAAGATCATAGGTTTAGGAACCGGATACAACTAGGACTCAAATCTTTGACTCTAAAATGCACAATCTTGAGCAAGTTACTTAACTGAGCTGCGCCTATAAAATGGCTGTAGCTTCTGAGGTCGTTGTGAGAATTAAAACAGATAATATATGTGAAAACATCTAGAACTGTGTCTGGCACGCATTCAATTATCAATAAATTTTATTCCCCTTCTCCCTCTAATCCTCAATTTCCTCATCGCTAAAGTGAGAATAATAATATCCACCTCACACGTTTTTTGTGAAGATCGTTGTTGTTGTTGGTTGCCATCAAGTTGTGTACAACTCACGGTGGCCGTACTATATAACCGAACGAAACACTGTCTGGTCCTGTGCCATCTTCATAATAACTGGTATGTTTGAGTCCATTATTGTGGCCATTGTGTCAATCCACCTCATTGAAGGTTTCCCTCATTTTTGTTGTCCCTCTACTTTACCAAATATGATGTCCTTGTAAAAATTAACTCAAAGTCTTTGTAATCTAGAAAATGATATATAGGCATAAATTATTATTATTTTGGTTGTGGGCAGAGATAGAAACAAAGGTGACTGGGACTCTGTACTCAAGAAGCTTGCCATCAGAAAGGAGTCATCACAGTGCAATGGCACTGGTGTTGTCCCACAGGTATGTTGACAGAGCTGTTGCTTTGAAGAGGTTGGAGTGCCAGGGAGGAGACTGGAGAAATAGATGGGGCAAGATTATAGACTCTCATGAACCATACTAATTATTTTGTAGGCAATGGGGAGCTACGGACATTTTAAGGCAGAAGGGACATAAACCAATGAGATTTTGGAAACTTGACTGGCTGGTGGTGGTATATGGAATAGCTTACACAAGGAGAGACCAGAAAAAAGATAAACCAAGACTGGCAAAAAAGAATCCTTCCTCAACTAGGGCGGCTTTGAGGATCTGGTCAATGTTATCTTGTCCAGTGCTGTGTTGCCAGCCCCCAACACATAACCTCAATCTTGATTCCTTGGGCCAGTTTGAGCCCTGTTTTGTTTCCCCTCCAATATGGAAGATATCCCTGAACAACTCTCTTTCCTCTGACCCCTTCTCTACAGAGTGTCTTCCCACTCATTCCCTCTCTTCTCTGAGAACTTTCCCTGCCCCATCCCATAAGAGTGGATTCCTGGGTCCATGTTTTCATGACAGACCCTGGTTCCAGGCCATGATCTGGAAGTAGGGCTCAAAAGTATACTAGGCAGATTCAGGTAGCCCTTGAACTGGGAAGACAGGTAAACACGGGAGCTGTGGGGCAGGGACAGTCGTGTCATGAGAACATCTGTTGAATTGTGACTGACAGCCAGATATGTGAGAACACATGACAGCTATGCAGGATCCAATCCTGTGTCATTTATACGTCTCTGAGTTGGGGCCTGGATGTACGTGCAGAACCAGAAAAAAATTCAGAATAGAATCAAGCAATAAATAGGTTACACGAATCTTCTCAAGAGGGTGGGGGTTGCAGATTTATCAGAGATGAGAATTCATGGGCTGTGGGTATTTTTAAACCTAGGAAGATTTAGAATTAAGTATAG